CAAAAAGATGTGTATTAATTATACAAAATATATCATCTGAAAAATAAGTGAAAATTAAAAATTGTATTGTTTGAATGCTCAAAAAGTATTCATACAGACGAGAAATTTAGCTTCTAAAATCAAGAATACATATCACAAGCTCATTTGTTTATGTTAGAACAGAATGTATTCATTGTATAAAATTGCTAATTAATGTTTATTTTCTACAAATAAGACTTTTTTAATAAAAAAATTTCCTTGTACGAATAGTTTTTGCTCTCACAGTATATATACACGAAAGGAATGATTTTGCTAAAGTATCTAAAATTTAGGTAGATATAGATTAGAGAATAATTGTCTTGGACCATAAAAACAATTATATAGAAAATCAAATATGACGAACAAATGCTGCAAAAAACTTTAACATTCTAAGAATCAGTTTTACATAATTATATTTTGATCTAAAAAATTTATGTATCTAGCTAAATTTTTAGATGTAAAACCATTCTTTCCGTGTATATACGTATACAGTAGCATCTCGATTAAAGATATGCAAAAATTTATTGTTGTAATATATAGCAAGCTGAGTAAAAAAATACATGTCAAGAATATTAAATCGCATTGTTCACCAGAAAAAGATCTATGCGACAAATATTTCGTGGCTGTGAAACATTTTAAACAAGTTCGGTTAAGAATCCTCTACTTAGTGAACGTTGCGCTACACTCTGTGATACGCCGCGATTATGCATAAAGGAAAAGTTGCGAGAGTTCGTCGTTGATCTAGCGATTGATTTGAGAGGCCGCGATCAGCGCGGGATACCGCCGCGCCGCCACCGTTGCGTAATTGCCGCGCGTCTAAACAGTCACCTCTGTTGGCACCGTGCACTAGTTCTCAGGGAGCGCGAAGCGTCGCCTTTACAGTCGTTTAATCTTAGATCGGTGTTATGAGCTCAGAGGACGATCGTTCGATCGACGATGTCGATGGCCTAAGAATGAATTCATTTGCGATCAATCATCTCGGCCGTTGAGACATATTGTCTCGCTTCTGCGATTAAATTTGCGTATCAATTAATTTTAGAAGCACGGCTGGACAAGGATGTCGTAACGGATGTTTGTGTCCTTTTACTACTCCGGGAGATTAAGTTTTTATCTCACGAACTAAGAAGTAGACAAGAATAAAGTGTCTGGATTTTTTCCATTCTCGAAAGTCTGCGATGTCGCTTTCAAATTGTGACCTAAGCCTATCCGAAATTAAAACGCTCGATTTTACAATTAAATGCATATGTCTTAAGAAAACGTTGTTTACCATGTTCTATTCTACAAGGAAAACGAAACTCATAAAGCAAGAAACTGAATTGATTTTAAAATAATTGTGATCTTAAAATATTTTTATATTAGGGTAACCCTATTAATGTGCCTTTTAGCCAACTTGCTTATTACTGAATTAATTATTAAATATTGTAGCTTTAATTTTATCTGCTTGCAATCAATATCGGTTTTTCAACTATTTCTTTTTCTTCTAATATTTCTTTAATTTAAAAAATGTTATTACTTTATAATGTTTTTGACAAAAATAAAAAACATGTTTTTTTCCCTATTAATGAGTCCTCCAAGCGACCGCGACGATGGCCCTATTAATGTGCCCCCAATTTGTCTGCCTATCTACATTTGATTCATTTTAACGTATAGTTAAAACAGGTAATAAATTTAAGCTAATTGTTTAGGTTAATATTACATAAATCATTATTTCAATTATATTTATTTCAATGTACACTTATAACACAACGTTTTCAACTCCAATATAGGGCACATTAATAGGGACAAGCTTAAAATCTTGCAGTACGTATTATTGGATTCACATAAATTCCTCATATCTTTTGAAAAATATTTAAAATACTTTAATACTCAAAAAATAAAATATTATCTTCGGTATCGTATGCATTAACAATTTAACTTAACAAAAAAAAAATATTTTTTCTTATTTATTCGTGCTAGTTTTCTTTATGACTTATCGAAATACAAAAGCACACTAATAGGGACAGGCACAGTAATTGGGACAGTTACCCTATATGTCTTATACTATTTCCGAAAGTTATATTTTTACGTTTCAGAATAACAAAGAGATAACAACGGAAGATATTATCGGGGTAATAGGTCATTGTTGGAAATAAAGTGTCTAAAAGACATACGAGGTTTACGAACCAAAAAGTGTGGCCATGTCAATTAAGTAAGTTGTACTTGTCAAAGGTGCGACGTCGATGTTGACATAAATTTTTCATGAAATTCCAAACACCGGTGCACCGCAATAAATTTCGCGACGACATTCCACACTGCTATAACACGAAATGTATCGCCCGTGCAGATTAAAATCGCGTTGGAAATGGACTGTGGTATGTCGGAGTTAAGAGTATAAATTAGAGGTAGAATAGAGCCCGAGGGATAGAGTCACAAAAAAAAGATTCGTTAAAACAACTGAAAACTTTACTGATTTAGCAAATCTGCAGCCGTAATATACGGACAGCTAGTTTTCTATAGTTAGCAAAGTAACAAAATTATACAGCTGAATAAAATCGCACATTATTATGTCTCTTATTATGTACCATGGTCGTCGCGTCGGTTCGCTACCTCATTCCGTATCATTCTTTCTTTCCTACGCCCTCGGCGTGTTTGCGTTTCCCTGCGAAAAGCATGTCCGGCATGGAAAGAATGTCGTAAAAGGGGGGGGAGCCATAATAGCGCCATTCTATACATGCGTTACTGAATAATACCCAGAATTGGGAAGCGTTACTTTTTCCGTTTCTTTTCCGTCACTTTTTATAATAATAAACAATAAGAATAACAACGCTCGAATATTTGCACAGCAATACAAAAATCCTAATAACAACCAGTAATCGAGCAAAAAAATTGATGTATGATTAATTAATAAATTAATATATTTATATTTATATCTATAAATATATATCAACTTATTAATTAATCATACATCTATTTCTTTTGCTCGATTACTGGTCGTTATTAAGATTTTTATAATAAACAATTTGAGAATGACGTTGCAATTTTTTATAACTAAACGCTAAGATTATGCTAAGGTTGCAAGATCCACTTTTCCAACCTTGGCACAACCTTAGCGGTTAATTATAAAAAATTTGCAACGTCATGTTTATTATAAAAAGTAAGGGAAAAAATAACGCAAAAAGTAACGCTTCCCAACTCTGATAATACCCATCTGCAGAAATCATCGAGGTTATCTCTCATGTAATTATTTTATACGACGGTGCAGCCCATACATTCCATCTATCTGACCTCGCAAACAACGATTTCCTGAATAAAGCAAAAAGTACTCCACATTCTTGCAACCTCTAACCACTCCCCTAATAGCATATTTTATTCGAGGGACGTTCGCCAGAACGTTCTTAGGATATAAAGATATCTTCTGAATGTTCTTTGAAACGTCTCTCGGAGATTTGTGCTATTAGGGTCATTGTCAGTGATAATTTTACTCTCGTTTAAATAACGTTATTAGTTATTAAAACAATCCGATAAAGTTTAGCGACAATTTTAATCTTTGTAGCTTTTTAAGGAGCTACCTTCGATACTTGCACGGACATTATTTTGTAAAAATTACGAAAAACTCTACGTTTGTGTCTTTTTCCAGAAAAGTATATGCTCCGAGGTAATATTTTTCGCAATAAGAATTAATTATTTACAGATTTTAATATGTTATTCATCATTATTAAGATCGTTTCGAAGATGCGAATAAGCATCAAAAATTTGTTAAATTGCTAGTCAATTTAACTCGCGATATTACTGCGGTAGTTTAGTAGAGTTAGCGTTTCAAGACCGAAAATTTTTCGGCGCGTGTTTCTGTCGGACTACATACGTAGTATATAAATTCACATAAGAATCATACAAGCATTAAGATCCAGCTAGACCGTTTAAGACTTTGATTTCTATAATTTGTGTTATCACATGTACGGTCCTATAATATATTATATTGTATATGCTCTAATTTCGAAATTTGAAGTAAGATAACTGTCCCGATTACTGTGCGTGTTTCTATTAATGTGCTTTTGTATTTCGAGAAGTCGTAAAGAAAACTAGTACAAATAAATAAGAACAAATTTTTTTTTGTTAAGTTAAATTATTAATACATACCGAAGATAATATTTTATTTTTTGAATATTAAAGTATTTTAAATATTTTACGAAAGATATGAGGATTATGTAAATCTAGTAATGCGTACCGCAAGATTTTAAACTTGTCCCTATATTAATGTGACCTGTATTGAAGCTGAGAACGTTGTGTTATGAGTGTACTTTGAAATAAATATAATTGAAATAATGATTTATGTAATATTAACATAAACAATTAGCTCAAATTTATTACTTGTTTTAGTAACTATATGTTAAAATTAGTCAAATGTGGATAGGCACACAATTTGGGAGCACATTAATAGGGCCACCGTTGATTAGAGGACTCACTAATAGGGACAAAAACATGTTTTCTATTTTTGTCAAAAGCATTATAAAGTATTAACATTTTTTAGGCCGGTATTCATAGTCGATTCTTATTTCAAGACCGTCTTAAGTAATGCTTAAGACGCTAATGCAGCCCTCTGATTGATTCGTGACTTCTTAAGACTGCACTTAAGACGGTCTTGAATATAGGATCTGACTATGAATACCGGCCTTAGATTAAAGAAATATTATAAGAAAAAGTAGTTGAAAAACCGATATTGATTGCAAGCAGATAAAATTAAAGCTACAATATTTAATTCAATAATTAATTCAATAATAAGTAAATTGGCTAAAAGACACATTAATAGGGACAGTTACCCTATAATACTTTAAAATATGAAAATTCTGTTAGTCTTAAAAATAAGAATTTTCAATTTCTAAGAATGAAATATCTTTTTTTAGAATAAGATTCTATTCCCAAGAGTGTAGAGAGTAATAGCAATAGTCCATGGTAGAAAATTAATGGAGTGATACGACGAACTAACGTATTGTTTTTATTCGCAGGAGATTGATGGAGAGGGGCTCGTCCATCCCGTGGCGAGATACGCTGGCAGAAGCTATCGGCGAGTTCAGATTAGACGGATCCGCTCTTAGGGAGTATTTCCGGCCATTAGAGGACTGGTTGAGGACCGAGAATTTGAGGACGGGCGAAGTAGTCGGCTGGTCATACGGTAAGGGACAAAAAGGAAAGGGATGAGAGAGAAAGAGATAGCTCATTCAGTCGTCAACAACAGCTATGAAAACTACGTCTAAGTTCTAAAGAGTCCTATTTGAAATACAGAATGCACGTGAACCTCCGCCTTACGACGATTGACAGAGAAAGATTCAAAGTTCCTTTATCTACAATTTATATTTTATATAATAGTCGTACAGTTTGTCCAAAAATTTTCGCTCAGGTCTAAATGATTCATTGCTGTAATTAAATCTAAACGAGAGAGAGATTTACAAATTATTCTTCTTTTTTAACTATTGCGACACTTCTCGTGTTAATGTACGACGGTATCGTATAATGTTATGTTTATCTTTAATTAAAGATAATCATTACAACGCCGGATACAAAGATCGATTCATGTGACGTCTTGCAACCGCCGTAGTACGATACGGTACCTTTCGACGTAACTCGCTACAAAATTATGCAATTTCCTACTGTAATAGATTGAAGGTTGCAGTTCCCACGTGCTACTTTACTGGCGAGCGTTACAAATGTTCATTGTATGACGACATTCGACTTGTGAATTACGATCCGCCGTGTGTACGGCGAAATTATTGAGATTAACGGTCTGCACCTAACGAAGACCATGCATCTTGCCAAATTCTTAACGCCAGTCATCGGTCGCGCGCGCGTTATATAAAAACGGTTACACGGGTAAGAACTCGGATATGTACATCGTGCCGCGCGCTCATCCCATAAATTATGCCGATGTGTTTCGAAAGCATAGCGAAGCACTTCGAGCGGAATAAGTTATGAATTCTCTTAAATAAAGTAAAAACCATTATATGTGCATAATAAATCAAGAAGTGTCGACATCCTAGGGAACGAAAGGGAAAACAGGATAGGACTTTGGTAAAATAGTAGCGGGGCGCGATAATGAAAACGATATACCGCAAAATCCGTGAATTAATTGCAACTCAACTCTCTTGAGGATAAGAGAAGAAAAAATGAGAGAAGAACTTTACGGTGATCGGTGCGTTGACGGAAGAACTCGCGTGAATGTGAGCGACGCGAATTATTTGATCCGGAAATCTTTCTTGTCCATGCAACGGAAAAAACGGTTCTGCTGAAATATTAAAAAATTTACTTAGGTACAAATCAATTTCGGTAGACTATCAAAATAATAATGTAAGACGCTCAAACTGATTGCTTGAATATCGAAAAAAAGTTTACTAAATCTTAATACATATTTCTTGGAATAGTACTAACAATAAGTAAACTTTTATTTACAATAAGTAAATATTTATTTAATAAAAGAAATGATAGTCAAATTAATTAATTTTGTATCAAATATATGTTTACATTTACAAATATTTGCTTAAAATTATTCAAACAAATATTTATTAAAATTTAGTATTTTTTTCGGTGAATGTCACAATTTTTTGTAGCATTACTCATCATGTTTGAGTTTCCTAAATAATTATATTGACAATCGAACAAAATTATTTTTAGATCTGTATCTATCTAAATTAGATACTTTAGCAAAATCGTTTTTTTCTGAATGAATCACCGTGGCGTTCATTTTTTCGATAGGGAACGATAGCAAACTTTCGCACTATTTCCGTGATAAAACGCAGAGGCAGTAGAGAAACCATCGGGAGAAGAGGTTGATTGTAAAGTTCTGACCTCGTGAGACTGGAAAATTGCGAAAGCAGAGTGTGAAACGAGGAAAAGGCCGCCAGGAGGAGAGAGTTAAAAAAGGATAAACATAGGGACAGATTAAAAGAAGAGGAGAGAGAGAGAGAGAGAGAGAGAGATGCGAGAATCGTGAGACAGCTCGTTTCCATCGCGTGCCGTAAGAGTTCTTCGATGCATCCATCCATTCGCGAATTTGCGAGAAGGCAAAGTCGCACGTGCACGTGCATTAGAGGCGCGCGCGAGCTCTGTCTCTTCTCGCGTGAGAGCGAACATCGCGTTCACGTTCGGTCAATCGGGACCAGGCCACGCGTGATCGAGAAATCATTCGACTACGCAATATTATGTAATGAGGTCTCCCGCCAGTTAGAACGACCGATCCAGTTACACGAGATTTCGTTCCAGCAGGAAATGAGTTTGACATAAACATTTCCCCGAAAGAGTATAGATCTTTAAATTAAGATACGTCAAGTACGCGTTCCGGCTGTGGAAACTGTTGACTTTTTCTCGGCTACTATACTGTATCTTATGCGCCGTAAGGAAAATGCAAATCACGAAATAGGAAGACGGATTAGTCATGGTAGGAATATTCGTCATGTCCAGCCGCGGAAAGTGAAAAGACACAGCGTAATGTTAGAGAGTCGCTTTGAACAACCAATTTGCATTGCAGAAGTTCGGTTTTACTTGATTGCAACGGTTATGCAGGCAAACGTTAGTATCGTTAGCTTAACCTGAATTTGAGCACCGCCGGACGCGTGCAGTCCGTCTTGCATAATACACGTACATTCATATACGTATGCGCACGACTTGTCAATATTTTCAACTAAAACAGCCGACAAAACGTGCCGAAGAAATGGTGCATAAATCTGTATTTGCTCTAGTAAAACGGTCATTCAGTACGCCAAGCAGCAGGAGGGGCTTCCTTCTCGGAGATGATTCCGATGTAAGCAACAGATGTACGCAGCACTCATATACGTAACAACGCAATAAAAAGAAATCATGGAACGCCAGTCATATAATTTCACTTTTAGTCGATCTTCGTTCTCGTTTTGCCGGCTACTTCTCCGGTTATAGTCCACGTGTAACGCGCCTGCAATGTAACGGGAAAAACAAAGAGCAAGAGACTTTCGATCGAATGAATGATAATAATTTCTTAAGTGGTTTTAACCTGGGAATAATCACATAAGTTTTTTACGTAAACAACTCGGGGTGTTTTTATATCCTAATTAAAATCATTATTATTAACGACGTATATTGTACATTATTCAGATCGTTTTCCGACTTATTAGTTCGTGAGAACATTATGGATTTAATCATAATTTTCCGAAAAAATTAAGTAGAAAACCAAATAAACGTTAAACGGAAAATAAATACGTTAAATAGGTTTTATTTAGGTATTTCTACAATAATTTTTTAATAAATAAAGATCTTAATTAAAATAACGTTTCTTCATTGTGGGTTTTTTCCTTGGAATTTGTAATAAATAGTTAATAAAAAAGAAAAAATGTTAAACAATATCTATACGATATTTTACAACAATTCACATTTTTTCGTTGCGGGGTATAAAAATACTTTAAATGACTATTATAAAGTTAAATACCGTTGCCCGTAAGAATTGAAAAGAACAGTTTGATCACGTATTGTTTGATACATCGTTGTTGCTTTGTTATGTGTACATGTCTATAAGTAAAAGTACAGGCTATGATTTACACGTGCATTGAGGTGCAAGATCATAGCCGCAAATAATTGAAAGATAGATCACTTCATCTTTAAGGGAATCGGTATATTCTGTTTATACACTTTTTGTGTTGTGAGCTACCAATTATCTTATCGTATTTCACCCGAGAAGATTGATGCTATTAAATTTTTCCGGTAATTCTTAATCGTAAAAGCGATCAGTAATTTCTCAAGCGCGCGCGCGATCGTGGTCCATCAGTAAAAAAAATCGCGGTAATACGTCATACGACTGAATGAAGTAATATCAGTGCATTGTGCCCGATGTCGAGATAATGAGATACGTGTTACTATTTAGCGTTTCCATTCCCCATGCCACCTTTATCCATCGACGTAGCCACAAGTGTTTAAACCAACCGTACGTTGCACGTGCAAGAAATTGCTATCTGGTGAGGCCTAAGGTAGTTCTGCGCAAATCCTTTTAATGCACGACTAAATCGAGCGGAACGACGATAAAGTGATTGGATAAAAAAAAAGCAGTATTGACGAATTTGCCAAAAAATATCCGCGAAACTACAAAGGAACAAAAGCTAGCGAAGGGAAAGATAAATCAACCTTTCGATCGTTGGTTACCTTTATTCATCGCATGCCTCTCTTTCCTGCTTCTGTCGATCTCGATTACGGGATTTTAGAATGGTTCGTTTCCTTCCTTTCGCTCCTCCTCGCCGGTGTCGATTTGCGATCTCCATAGCACGCTCACTTTGGACAATCGAAAAAAATGTCTCTCTCGGCTGCTATTTCCATAGATGGTTTCGTTATTCTCTTTTGAGCAGCAATTTTGATCAACTAGAGACTCTAATAAAAGTCTGGACATGAGACAATTTTTATTAGTCTCCATGTTTTAGCAACACCTAAGAAAAAGATGAGAAAAAAGAAAAGGAAAAAAAGTTTTTAAAAAAGGGGGAAAATAGTAAATATATGTCCTTCTCTCTCGCGTAATTTTGCCAAAATTTAAAACTCTGCATACAAAACACGGTAACCAGATTCTCATTAGAGAGTCTCTAGTGTAGGGTATCTGTCGCTCGCCATTCTTAATGATGTAAAAAAGATGACACAATTTTGTAATTTACTATCTTATTTTGTTACATAGATGGAGACTTTTGCAAGAGGAGCATAGAGACCGCGGGCCTGCAGGTTTACGGTAGCGGCTTCTACAACAGCGGCACATCCATCTCCGCGTCTTGGATCGTTACGGGAATCATGATGGTTCTTTGGATTGTATCAACACTTTATTGAACACGAGTAGCTGATTCATCATCGAGCACTGATGATAATAAATTAAAGGAAGCACCGTTAATTTGCCAAAATATATCCATTCGTATTCCTGTAAGATCACTGGATAAATCTGAATGAATACAATAATAGTTAAATTACTAATTTGAATGTACCAACCAGATTGATTGACGGTAAAATAACGATCGTTACTGCCAAATAATACAAACATACTAAAGTACACTCTTGTCAAGCGTCAAGCTGCATGCTTTACGCGATGTAAAAAGGTCGCGCTGTCAATTTATAAACTTGTTATTACGTAGGTCTGTATAATTGTAATACTATTAATATTATACGTTTATGCTATATATTATATTATATGACATGTCATGCTATAATGTTACATACGTGGTATTATGATTAAGAATATAAAGCGTGCCTGAAAACGTCGTATGTGTTGTGCGTGGGTGTAAATGCATAAATCATTTCATATACTTGAACGGCTCGTGATTCACGTCCTGTAACTATCAACTTCACTGTTGATTGATCAAATAAAATTAGATCTATTGTTGTAAAAGAAAACTTCGGAATTTTCATCGAAACGCTTGTTATGTCATTCTAACAAACAGTTTTATTTTCTAAACATCTAGCTCTGTACGCTCCAACTTTTTTAACAGGATTGCAAAATCGAGGCATAGCACCGTCTAGTATTCTATTTTACTTTACGAAGTTACTTTTTAATTGTTCAAGTAAATCAAATTATTCTTTTTGCTCGCAACTATCACACAAAAAGAAGTTCATTAAATAACACGTTTACTTTTCCCTGATAGAAATGTATGCAGTTTTTCTGGACACCTATCCAGTTACTATTTAATATTGCTGTATTCTCATTAATTGTGCCAATACTGAGTAGGAAATGGACAAGAACTTGATAGAGTTTTATTCTGTCCATTTCACAAGCAGTTGGCTTGCTTATTAATTAATTTAATATCCATTATTTGTTGTGTTTCTATTTAGTAAATGGATTCAGATTTTACGCAACTTTTGTATGCAGTAACTGCAAACAAAGTGTTACATCCTGATTGGGATCCTAAGTAGTTTTCCTTCTCAGTTACTAGACAGAAGTTGGTGTAACTGTTTAGTAACTGCTCAAAAAATGCATGAAATTTCTACCAGGGTTTGCATTGATGTATATGGAGGAATAGAAGAAGCATATTTTATGTTCGAGAAAGAAAGAGGATTCCCTTCGATTGGAATATGCACAAAAGCTGTTCGACGACAAAAGCCACATCAAACTGCTCCCTTATCTTACGTAATCGAAAGCCGGCGAAATCGTACCAGGTGAAATCGTACTTTTGTTGTCAAATTACGATAAACTCAATCAGACTACCTTTTATCCCTCGCCACTTTATTGCACCCTTAATCGCCGCCATTAGATCGGATATTCTTCTTACCTATCATTTCTCGCATATCACGCCCATTTCTTTTGCTTCGGTATTAATCTGAATGCGAATAATGATTTCCAAAACAATTTTGGTATAAATGGCGTATGTAGGTTTAATTACATGTCAATCCGCTATTTAACTGCATTCTTTTAAATTACAACTCATGATATGCCTAGAAACTAAAGATTTTATAATTAGATATATAAATTATTAATTAGTCATAAAAATCTTAAAAATAAACTTTGTGTGTAGAATTTTAGCCATTATGATTTTAATTAAATATATATACAGACATTTGTAATATAATAAAATAGTTATTTTTACAAAAATAGTATTTATTTGTTCGAGAATTAGAAACACAAAATTAAAGGCATAAATATTAATCCCAGATAGAAAATCACACAACCTTTTTGTTTTACGGCCGCTCTCTCGTCCGATTTTTGCAGTGCGCGCCGACGCGTAGGACGTCAGCTTTCACGTGAAAGAGATGCCATTATTGTTTGCAAAGGCATGCCACTGAAACGTACCGCACGTAATTGCACAAAGGTGGTCTCTGTCCAGAAAACTGGTCCGCCCGTCTTGCGTAACGAGAAGACCGCGGAAATCGGCCTAGTCGGGCAAAAAGAAACGCTTGCATCATCATCGAACGCGCAACATGCGTGCATTTCATCGTGCGCGCGACCGGAAATATTTTGATCTTATCATTTCACACGGCAAACGCATACCATCTTATGCATAATACTCTCCGACGACGAAAGTGGAATATTTGATTTCAACCGGTCGTGCGAGTCTCATATCTTCTGACGTGGCGCAGATTGATTTCCCGCATTTTCGAGATCCGATCAACTTGTCGAATTAACGATATGGCGCGCAATTATTCCTTTCTTGCATAATCGTTGAAAAATAATTTACGCCGCGAGCCAGTCTTTTTCTCATCGCGGAGGAGATTCTATTAACCGAAGCGACGCGGATATGCGATTTTAATTCACTTTGGAATAGCTTCAACACGGAAATCGACAGAGAGCCATAAAAAGATCAAAATATCCGTAGTACCTGACCATTCCCAATTGATCTATTCCATTACAGAATCGCAGATTGCCCCGACAATTAAGCGTCGAGTTATTCTAAGTTTCTATCCTGAAGTCATTTTGAAATTCTTACTTAATGTGTGAGCAAGATATTACTTCATACGATACATCAGACGTTACCTTGTTACGTTCGAAACAGTGATTCGTATTCCATTCCGTGCATATCCGCCGGTATTAATCTGAAAATAAGAAATCAAGTTGATTGTCAGGAATACATAATCCCCTCGTTACTCTCCAAGCATAGGCGCCACTTTATCAAGAAGTGTATGGACTTCTAATTTCATTCACGAATTACTGCTTTCTTTTATTTAAAAAACTTGATCGGATATTATATAAAGTATAACTATTATACTGCTTTTAAAAAGATATTAATTTTGATAATAGTGACAAATAGTAATTTTCTACCAACTGCACGAATCATACTTTCAGAATCATAAATTATATATATATATTGAAGAGTTCCATAAATTCAATTACTAATGAGATAAATACATTGCACAATGAAGACATTGTGGATTAATTGTATTATTTTCATTTTTCCCCTATTTTTCTTTCTTTCGTAACGAAAAGCGATGAAACGTTAACAGGTGAAGGATAAATTTGATGAAAGAAGTCATTAATGAAAGAAGTTTCTCTTCGTTGATAAAGCTAAAATTGAGCAATATTGACGGATAACATTGATGAGAGAGTCTTCTGAAGACTTGGTCATAAATCGCTCGATGGAAACCGGAGACGGATGAACCGGACGTTTGGTCGACGCCCATGGGACGATGGTTTGACGATCTGCCCCAAAACTGGTTCGACCAGTTGCATAATCGGGAAGTCGTGCCTTTCCACGAAACGTCTGCGAAGTGCACAATAAGAGCTGACTGACTCGGACGTCTCGTCCACTTTCACCGTCGGTCGCGCGCGCGCGCACAGTTTTAGCCGGTGGTTTTAACTGCGAAGCGATCACCGGCTACATCCGCGTGCGACCGAAATCTGCGAAAGAGGAAACGAGAAAAGAAGACAGAGAGAGAGAGAGAGAGAGAGAGAGAGAAAAGAAGTACGCAATTTCGCCGACCGACCGGAATCGGATGTATTGAGTCGGTTTAATATCGGTTTAATTGAGGCTTACTGGAAAAGGAGCCACGAGACGATCCGATGAAATCACCTGTTTCGAAATTGTGCGTGAAAGTGATCGAAAGCAGATCGACACCCCGTCCCTTCGGCTCCTTCACGCCGGCATTGATATAGGTGCATGTTTTGTAGATCGCAAAAAAAAAGAAACTAACGTTTCGTTATTCACAAGTTGAGCAACTTGAATGCCGAAAGAATCGGTTACGACGGTTACGTCATGTGTATCGAGCGTATATAGAGAAGATTATACATGAAATAGATTCGCAAGATAGACGACACGAGATGGACCGGGTACTGAAGGGAATGATTGCGTGTACTTATGGGCGACGTCAGTCATTTCGAAACTATCGGTGAAAGTGATCAAGAAAAAAATAAGCGACAAATTTATATTAAGAGACACTGGCAATATCTAACTCTCTAGTGGGGGGGGGGTGTGTTGGCATATCAAATTAATTAACATATAAAATACAACTAATTAATTCGGCAAAAGTGTAAGCTAAATTAGCTTTACACTGTAGAACTTTCTTTTTATAACATAATACGAATAGTTTTTAACACAAATTATTAGTTACATATTATTTTACAAGCTTTCTATATACATTTAAGCTACATATATAATATTATTTTAACATAATAGCACATGATTTCGCAATAAATCTGTAGATACAAATATTTTGTTATATTTAAAAATCAAATCGTGACGTACAAAATATCAAATCAGTAAATGAAATAATTTTAATATTACGATTATCTTTTTGTCTGGCTGGTTCTACTCGGGGAAAAAATAATTGTATTGCAATTAACGGCAGGACAAATAGCGGGAGATAATGAAGGTTTTCTACCTTTTGAAAGGTGCGCTTTTGAGAAACAACAGACTGCATCGGGATCGTTACGGTGATCGTGTAAAGACTATTACGTCTGCGAAATAAACTTAGGGTCAACGATATCCTAGAATAATATCTGGCATTACTTTGCTGGTAATGAGGGTATAATTATGATTAGTGTTTCAGTAAAACAATGCCCAATGCTTATGCAACGCGAGACATAGAGCGGCACCAATGTCACTGTCTCGCGCGATTAGATCGATGATTTATACAACGAATCATGCTGGCTAAGCAGAAAACATGGACCATTGTTCAATTATTGTTTTTCTTTGACCAAATAAGATTTAAATTTTACTCGGTAATTAACCTTTACAGAACGAAAAAACCACTATATAATGACACTAAAACAATATTATATTTTGAGGCAAAGAAGAAATAATGAAATAATAACAATGAATTATAATAAATCTTAAGAAAAAGCTGTAAAATTTTTAAAATAGATTCTCGCTCTCTAAAGATTAATCTTGCACATTTATTTTAATAACCTTTTTTAACGTGTAAAGAGATATAACATATGTTTGTGTTTTTTAATTAATTACATAAAAAAATTTGTTGTATAAAAATAATAAAATTTGGTAAGATAAATTTCATAACATATTGAAATGATCGTAACAAGAAGTCCAAATAAAGTAAATAACGTAACGCAAGTTACGTTATCTTTTGCAGTTTCGCAAGTTCTCTGTCTCCGCTGTATACGTTTTCTGTCCGTTAACTTAAATTTGTATATATGATCGTATACAAACTTACCTTTTTAAAAAAAGGTAAAAAAAGCGCTAAGCGTGTGTGCTTCTTGTAAAGAATCACCATTTGG